TGTCTGAGCCAATATTTTACTCCAGGCGCTGAGCCTCTTTCAAAATCAAACCAAAAGAGGAACCTCGGCTGCTGTGGGGGGGGGGGGGGGGGGGGGGCCCAGGCCTTTCCTCTCTCTCTGGCCAAAGACTTCCGAAACACCACGCAGGACGCTGGTCCTTTGGGGAGGGGGCTGCTTTCAAATGGCTCCCATGCCCATCCAGAAACTGAGGAGGCCCCACCTCATTCTGGGCTTCCCTGGGTCCTTCCCTGCCTCCAGCTTTCCACAGAGCAGAGGAAGAGAGTCTTTGGAAGGGACCCTGGAGGTCTTCTAGCCCAACCCCCTGCTGGGAGGACTCCAAAGCTGCTGCCAGTCATGAGAGCTGAAGAGCCTGGCTTCCAAGCGAACCTTTTAAAGTGGGGGTTAAACCCGGGGACCTCCGGTTGGCCCAGACCGCTCACCTTCAAACCCCTCCCCCCAGTTGCCAGAGGGGCGGTGTGGGGAAAGGCCCCGAGTAGCCCCGGCCTCCCTCGCAGGGTCCTTGTTGTAGGATGGAAAAAAGAGCCGAGGGAAGGATGCGAAGGCTGCCTTCTGCTCCTGCTGAAAAGCCCAGCTCTTACCAGAAAAGAAGGACGCCAGTCGTCAATTTAAGATGGCAGATGTCAATCAATAGTCCGATGAGTTATGCGTGCCCGTTGGCTCCCCAACCTTGGTGGGGGTGGTCCAGAAAGTCCCACCGTGAGCCTTTCTTCTCATCTCCAGGGCAAAAAGGACCGTTGGAGGCTTTCTCCGAACTCGGAGCGGGTCTGGTCTTGACAAGGGGGGCCATCCCTTTTCAGGCTGTGCACCATTGGCTCTGCTGCCTGCCGGCAGATGCTCCCTTCTCCATGCCAAGCAGGAATGCCGGGGCCTCCGGGACGCCATCGAGCCTGCCGAGAAACCTGAGCTTGGCCCGCGTGGAGGGCACAGCCCAGGAAGGAAGCTGAGACGGCCAGGGGGAAGATGCCAGGCAGGTGCTGGTGCCCTGAAGGACCTCGAGGACAGTGGACCATTGACGGGGCTCCTGGGATGGGGGTCGTTATGGCAACGGAAAGAAGAGCCGGGACGGAGAAGAGAGGGACGGTCTGGGCATCCCTCTCTCCTTCAGCAGATGCTTCCAGAAGGAAGGTGGGATGCGTCCAGGGCTTCTGCTTTCGCTCCTCTTCTCCTCCTTGAGCGGTGAGTCCTTCCTCCCAGAGGGGCTTACACCCTTGTTCCCCCTATTACAAGACCCTCCTAGGGGGCCCACCAGGAAGCCTCTTGGCCTTTTGGGGGTGCTTGTTTTGGTCCGGCAAAAGGAAAGGGCTTTTCCTTTGGGGCTTAGGAATTCCCCCCCCCCTTTTTTGTATAGCTAATTAGGTTTATTTTATAAATGAGGTGTAATCACTGGGTGATTAGTCCAAGTCTTTCTCTCCTCTAACCTGTCCTTTTTTTCTCTCGTTAAACAATTGGAAATTCACCCGTTAACTACAGACAGGGGGCAAAAATTGGTTGTGATCCATCTTCCCCATATTCCTACATCAAGATAAACAGAGGTTTAATGGGTAATTCCAGGCGGTTAAATGTGGTCTTTACTGAGGTTATTATCTCTCTGTATTTAAAAACCTTTTTAAAGGACTGTTTATATCGTATCAGGCGTACATTCTGAAAAACAGAAAGTCACGTGTTAAGAATATGCCTTCTTCCTTCCTTCCTTCCTTCCTTCCATCCATCCATGGGGAGATACAAAGAATTTAAAAAATCTGCAAATCTTCATTCTGGATTTCCTTTTGGGAGCTCCGGAGAGACGGTGCCAGGTGGAAGGGACCAAGGGAAACGGTGAAGTCCATCCATCCGTAGGTCAACCAGGGGCTTCAGCCGTACCTTTTCCTACAGCAGCTCCATGGAGTGGGTCAGAAACCGGGGCAGCCAAACAGGATTCAGTGCGGGACCCCCACACGGGACCCCCTTCTGCCAGTGATGGAGGCGGACAGGAATGGCCAGGTATGAATCCAGTGGCATCTGGAGACTCCAGCCAACGGAGTGGACTGGTCTGTATGGTGAATTACAAAAAAGGGGGAACATTTCCTCATTTTGACCACAAACGTTGTCGAAGAAAAAGGAAGCCGCCTGCCCACCTAAATTAAGGAAAAGGCCATTTCCCTTCAGTTTTCCCTTGGGTCCCCATCAGACAGGACTCCCGCCAAGTGGAATCAACTGGAAAGCCCAGTTTAGATTTAATGCTGGCTCTCTGCTGAGTTGTTTGAAGTTGGGGGGGGGGGCGTATAAATCTTGGGTGGGAGAAAAAGAAGAAAAATCTTCCCATCTTCATTTGTTACCCGAAATCCTTCCGTAGATGGCACTTGCTCAGAAATGTGTTCCTACTTCAATCCCAGCTTTAATAAAAATGGGATCATTAATGTCGTACAGATAAATGATGAATTGTTTAATGACAAATAGCCCTCCGGGGGGCTTTTAGTTAACTTCTGGGCCTCCCACTCACCACCCGACCCAGGAAAGAAGCTCCCTTCCCCCCCCCTCCTAGGAAAGATCAAGAGGAAACTAATAATAAAAGCAACATCCTGCTGGGGAGCACGACTGCAACACTGCAGACAATTGCTTAATTGTTTGTGAGGAGACTGTCATGAAGCTCAGGAAGTGCTGGTAATTAAAGGGCCCAGGCAGCTCCAGGTTGCAAAGCTATCAAAAGGGCCAGAAACATTGGGGGAGAGCAGCTCTGGATGCATAAATGGATGCGCGTGTATCTCCTGGGCAAGAAATCTCAGGAGTAGCCCAAAAAAAAGCTTGCTCTGTGTGTGTTTGTGTGTGTGGTGGGCAAGAGAAGGAAGGGAGGAGAAAAAGAGAAAAGAAGGAAGGAAGAAAAGGGAGGAAGGGGAAGGAAGGAAGGAGGGAGAGAGAGAGAAATAAAGAAAGGCTTCAGTAGAAGAAAAGATTTAATTTAATACACCTTCTGTGTGAATCCCATGGATTTAATGCAGCCACCAGCTGGTTTGTACAGACGCAACCAATGTGGGGGTTTGCCATTGGGGTCAACCACACCACAGCATCCTTTTGGAAAGGGCCAGAGAGCAGCAGAAGTGACCGGTGCCTTAAAACAGCCCAAAAGTAAAAGCGCATTCCCCATTTCAACCTGAAAAGGAGACATCTCAGCAGGAAGATTTCCACAATAAACTGCCCGGCACATAAAAACGGGTAGACGTTGCTTGTAAATAAAAACCCACCAGCTGAACTTCCTTCCAGAGTAGATAGAAAATAATTTTTATTGCATTTCTGTTAATGGAAGATGGTGAATTGGTGCGCAAGATTCCAATCTGCCGAATGGAGCCCCAGAGCGCCAGAAATGGGCCGGATCAGGGGAATAATCCCCATTGCAGGAATGGCATTAACTGGGGAGGGGGCCGTAGGGACTAGGGAGGGCTTGTCAACTGCTCTGGGGCTGGGAATGATGGGGCCAGCAGCGTCCCCGTAGAGATGGTCAGTTCTGGACTGCTGACCATCTCCCCTTCCCCGCAGACCGAGAGATGGACTCCCCCCGCATCATCGGGGGCTACGTTATGGCCCCCCACTCCTCCAAGTACTTGGTGTCTCTGAAGAGGAAGAGCGGCTTCCATTTCTGCGGGGGGGCGCTGGTCAGCCGCCGCTGGGTCTTGACCGCTGCCCACTGCAAGAGCGGGTAAGGAGGAGGCCCCCCGGCCCTTGTGCAGGTGGTCCTTGACTTACGACCACAATTCAGCCCAGCATTTCGCTTGCTCAGTGAGACAGTTGTTAAGTGAGTCTGGCTGGCTATGAAGTCTTAAAGAAGCTTCTGGTTGGCGTGGCTATCGGCCCCCTCCTCCCTTCCCCTCGGCCCCTGCCCTCCTCTGGCCCCCTGCCCCAGACCACCCGCCTTTCTTGCAGAGGGAACCAGATGCTGATTGTGGCCGGGGAATATTCATTGTCCACTGTGGAGGGTACCGAGCAGGTCTTCCGTCCGGCCCGCCTGGTGGTCCATCCGGAATACAGCGCCTCTTCGAAGAACGCAGACATCATGCTGATCAAGGTGGGCCCAACCCCTTGGTTGGGGGGCTCGGCTCTCAGGGGGAGGAGAGCCATTTGGGGGGAGGGAGGGAGAGAGGGAGCCGATGCTCCAGTGGGGAATTCTCGGGGGGGAGGAGGGGGGCGTTTCATGGGGGTTCAGCCTGGCAGACCCTGCAGTGCCCCCAAAGCTGGCACGGCCCCTTGGGGGAACAAGTGGGGGCGCTTCCTTGCCCCCTGACCCCCCCACTCAGGGTCTCTGCTCTCCCCCACCAGCTGAGCCGGCCGGTGGCCTACAGCCCCTTCGTCTCCATCGTGCCGGTCCCTCGGCAAGGGGCAAAGGTTCGGGCCGGCCGCTTCTGCCAGGTCTCCGGCTGGGGCTACACCACGCCTGTCGGGGGCAGGGCATCGGACACCCTGCGCAGCGTCCGGCTGCCCCTCGTCTCCCCCTGCAAGTGCAACAGCTCCGCTTCGTACGCCGGCTACATCACCAAGAACATGATCTGTGCCGGATTTGGGCAGGGAGGGAAAGACGCCTGCCAGGTACAGGAGATCTTTTGGGGGGTGGGGGTGGCCCCCAACCTGGTTCCAGAAAGTGGCCGGACTGTCCCTTTTTTCAGGGGGGGGGAGGAGGATTCCTTGGAGAGTCTGGGGGTTGTTGGTGAATCTCCTGACTCCTCTCTCCCCTCCTCCCCCCCAGGGTGACTCCGGGGGTCCCCTGGTGTGTGACGGGCGTGTGTTCGGCATCGTTTCCTGGGGCCACAGTTGCGCCAGCCCTGGCTACCCTGGGGTCTACACAGCCGTGGCCAACTTCCAGAAGTGGATCTACAAGACCATTCTCCAGAAATAAGGGCTGCCTTTGGGGGGGGGGGCATGCCGCTCACACTCCTTTGGGGGGGGGGAGGGCTGGAGAGCCTGGCAGTGGCTGTGGGTTTTTCCCTATG